TAGTGCCTGGACTTTTCTTTGTTGGCAGGTTTTTAATTACAACTTTGATTTCATTGATTGCTATTGGTTTATTAAGGATATTTATATCTTCTTGATTCAGCTTTGGTAATTCGTATGTATCTAGGAATTTGTCCACTTCTTCTGCATTTTTTAAACGTATTTTAGAACAGGGTCTATAGGGTCTCACTACACAGATCAGACTCATAGTGATCCTCCTATTATCAACCTCCCAAGAACTGGGATTACAGGTACACACCACCACACCCATCTCAGTGCACTCAGTGCATCTCAGGGCTGGCACAGCACCCCTGGGGATTGAACCCCAGGCTCTGCATCTGTCTAAGCAGGTGCTTTAGTCCACTGAGCTATCTGGCTGGCCCCTTTTCTGCATTTTCTGTCTTATTAGAATACAAGTTTTCAAAGTAGATGTAGATGATCTTCTGGATTTCTGCAGGGTCTGATGTCACTTTGCTCTTTTCATTCCTAATTGCATGGATTTGAGTCTTTTCTTTCCTTTTTTTGATAAGGCTGGATTGGGGTGAGGATATAGCTCAGCAGCACAGTGCCTGATATATTTGGATAAGCGTTTGCTGATTTTTTAAATCCTCCAAAGAATCAACTCTTGTTTTGGCGGAACTGGGGATTGAACTCAGGTCCTTGAACTTGACAGGAAAGCGCTTATTCCACTGAGCCATCTCCCCAGCCCCCTGAATCAACTCTTTGATTCATTGATTGTTTTCTTTCATCTCCAGTGAGTTAACTTCTACTCTTACCTTTATAATTTCCTCTCTTGTATGAACTGTTGGCTTAACCTGCTCTTTTATTTCTAGAAGTTTCAGGTTCAGCATTAAGCTGTTTATTTGTGCTTGCTCTATTTTCCTAATATGAGCATTCACCATATAAATGTCCCTCTTAAGCTGCTTTCATTGTGTCTCGTAAGTTCTGGTATGTTGTATTGTCATTATCACTTAATTTTAGAAACTGTCTAATTTCTTCTTCAATTTCACCTGTGACTTACTGGTTGTTCATGAGGGTGCCATTTAATTTCCATGTGTTTATGAAATTCTTATGGTTTCTTTTGCCATGGATTTCCAATTTCACTACACTGTGGCCTGCCCAATTCTAGCTGCTCTTCTCAAACTGGCCCCATGCTTTGCTTCGAATACACACTGCAATGTCGAGCTCTCTACCTCTCAGGTCAGTCAGCCTGCTTGCTAGTTCTCTTCTGTTTCTGCTGCAGAGACAGCAATGGCATGCAGGCTTTGTGGCTGCTGATCAGTCCTTGCTGGTTTGTTTTTGGCATTCATAAAGATACATTGTCACCTACTTTTGTTGTACATGCTTTTGTGGGATTTTCTTTCTGCTTTTATAGGATTTGGTAAGATCCAAATCTACACCGGGTATCACTGCTTCTGTTCTCCCAGAATCCTTAACATACTCCCATTTCCACAGATGAGGAAGTGCATTCCAGGGCTGTGATTTGCTAGCAGCAGAGGTGCACGTGAGAGTAATGCTTACATGCATGGCACAGAAGAGGGCCACTGCAGGCGCCTCCCTCCCTGCTTTAGCCAGCCAGTGTCCCAGCAAGACTCCATGGTTGACAATTAAACAAGAGTGTCCAAGCAGAGAGCTCACCTCCTTGCCAGTGAAAAAATGTTCAAGAAACGACACCTGTTAGTGTAGAATTTTATGGTTGAAGAAATCAAGGGTTAGGAAGGTAAATAATTGCCCCCAAAGTAAGACATCTGGCTAGTGACACAGAGAGGCTTTAGACTCAGGTCTGTCTGGAGAGAAGCCTCAACTTTTTTCTCTACAAGTGGTCCTCAGCTAGGGCCACTTTATTCCCTGGGGATAGTGGGCAGCGCCTGGAGACGCATTCAGTTCTCATGACTGTGGATATGGAGTGCTACTGTCATTACTGAGTAAAGGCAAGGCATGCCATTTACTATCCTACAGTGTTCAGGAAAACTTCCTCTCCATAGCAAAGACCTGTCCAGACTCAGGTGTCAATGAGTGCCCAGGTTGAGAAACTATGCCTTAGATTGTGCTCCCACCCAACGTAAGCCTTACCTTAGAATCAGTACTAATGCCAATCCTAGGAAACTTTCTGAGCTCAGTCACATGTCCTGAAAATACAAGCTCAGGCACTTCTGGGCTCCCCAGCAGACACTCAATATCAAACTCTCTCTCTCTTCAAAGACTGGATAAATCTGTGTGTGTGTGTGTGTGTGTGTGTGTGTGTGTGTGTGTGTGTTACTAGGGACTGAACTCAGGACCCTGAGCTTGTCAGGCAAGCGCTTAGTCTACTGAGCTATCTCTCCAGCCCTGGATGAATCCAAGACAGCAAGAGTTTGGAACATTCCAGACAGACACAAGGCAAGCTGTCCTCTTGCCATGGTTCTCCCCAAGAAATGGGTTGATCAGAAGCCATAAACAGGCATTTCCTGCTAATGATAATCCGAATTCTGCACATGCCATTCTGTGAAGGCTCCCAAGGAGCCCCCAAACATGGGATGTAGCCCCACCCATTTTACACAGCAGAAAACTATTCTTCTCAAGTCGTTGAAGCCTGCTACTTCTGAGTGTCCAAGGCAGAAAAGAAGACAGAAATTCAAATCTCTGCTAAGTCACATCATTGTCACGTGACCATGGGTGATTTCTGGTTCTTTTTTTATCTTATTTCCCAGCCTGTAAAAAAGCATGGAGCTGGGAGAAGGGAGCTTCAGTAAATTTCCTATAAGATCTCAGAGGCAGAATAAATTTTGGTACTGTGATGTCATGGACTCGAATTCAAATCCAGCTCTTTCACTGAGTATGTTGAGCCCTTAGGCAAGTGGTTTCCTCTTTCTGGATTTCTAGTTTCCACCACTAACCTTCGGGCCTTCCCAGTGCAGATCCATGAAGAGGGCCTGCATGAGACTTGGTCGGGGGCTCTAGGTCTCCGGTTGGACTCATGGGAGGCAGTGTTATGGGCTCCAGGTCCTCAGCTGGAGGATTCATGCAAGATATTAGGATCCAGGTCCTCAGCTGGAGTCTTTGGTCTTTAGTGTGTGGACAGATTTCCTGCACTCCTGTATGATTCTTTGGGTGATTATTATTTTTCTATTTTTTTTATTTATTTGGTGGAACCGGGGATTGAACTCAGACCCTTGCACTTGCCAGGTAAGTGCTTATTCCGCTGAACCATCTCCCCGGCTCTTTGGGTGATTATAAAATAATCTTATAAAATGTGTCTTTTATGGTATCATTCCCCTTGCAAAAACCCCAAACCATCACGGAATGAGAAAGAAAGAGGAAAAGGATAGAAAAGAAAAGAACTGATTCTGATAAGCTAAGTAATGCCTTCCCTTCAAACGTCCTCAGCCTAGTCTCCGGACTTTGTGAATACCTTGCTTTATATGGTGAAAGAGACGTTATACACGTGAGATTATTTGGGCTGGCTGATGTAATTTCAAGAGCTCTTACAGGAGGCTGACATGAGGATCCGAGTCAATAGCAGCTATGATAACAGAAGCAAGAGGTTGAAGAGATTTTTAGGAAGGATCTACGTGCCGAGGCACATAAGCGGCCTCTACAAGCTCAGAAAGGCCAAGGAATGAATTCCAAAAGTCCGCAGAAAGAATGCAGTCTTGCCAACACCATGACTACAGGATTCTGACCTGTAGAGCTGTAGGAGAATAAATCTCTGTTGTTTCAAGCTCATCATTTTGCAGTAATTTGCTACAGCAGCAGCAGCAGAAAACTAACACTTTGAAGGACGAAGCTTAAATCAGGATGTCCACCTAAATGTGCATTTCAGATAAGCAGCCATTTAAATGCATACATTCCAAATTGTGCTTAAGATATGTTTATACTTAAAAAGAAATCATTCTTTACATGGAATTTAAACTGAATTGAGTATTTGCTGTTCTTTAGGCTACCTTAGAAATGGTAAACATGACACCTGAAGTGAAAACTCACGACTTCCAGGGCAACCTCAAACTCCTACTTTACACACAATCTAGGATCCAGTAGAAACTATCGTGTGTCCCCCGCACCCCCAGGCTGAGGTCTCATCCCTGTGGGTTTGAAGTTCTCCTGGACCACCAGAATCTCTCTAGAAATAGTCCAGGGTCCTTGTCTGAAGGCAGGACCTAGGAGATTTGTCTCAAAGTCGTGGTTGCACAAAATAAAAGCATTAAAGGACTAGGTGTGGAGCTAGATAGGCATTCGTGTTTTTCAAACTACCACCGTCTAGATGGATTTTCATCAACCCCTAAGCAGGAAACAATTAGTAATTCAAGTTCCCGAATAGCAATCACATTATAGGTGAACAAACCGAGCCCCGGGAGGAATGGAGACCTGCCAAGGCCGCTCAGCTAACGAGACTGATATACCCTGGATGGCAATTTCCCCCTTAGGATCAGCCAGGGCGGCTGGCAGCCGCGGCAGAGGAATTCTGGAACGCCGATCCTGAGCTGTGATGCCTTCTGCCGCACTGTCACTTTACCTCTCATAAAATAGGAAAATTGCACAAATATGAGGATGTGATGAGGTAGGGAAAAACCTGCATAAACGTGAGGATTTAATGAGATAACTGATCTGAAACGCCAAGTATTGGCCCTGCTTTCGGAAAACGGCCGCTTCTCCCCTCCCTTTTCTGCGTCTGTTTCTTCATCTATAAGGAGAACTTGACAGATAGATGTCTTTCGAACTCCCTCCCTCCCAGCCAGACGGGGTTCCGCAGAGCTCAGAGAACGGCCGCGCGGTGGCGACAGAGCGCCGGCTACCGGGAGAGGTAGCACACATGCGCACTCCAAGGCGGCGCCCTACCTTCCCACGCCCCATACGTCACTTCCGGCGTGAAGGGCCGGGCTGGCCGGGCGGGGAGTGCGGGTCGCTTCTGCGCGCGCTGGCAGACTAGGTTCCCGCCGCCGGTTGACCCGCGCTCCACCCCGCAGCCGGGCCGGTGAGTGCCCATGAGCCCGTGCGTGCGCCCTGGGGGCCGAGAAAGGGACCTTGAGAGGGAAGGATCACCGGAAGTGGGGGTCAGAGGAGCGGGAGACCCCAGGAAATGGGGACACCTGGGGAGGGGGCGACCGGAAGTAGGGGCCCTCGGAAGGTTGTCAGTGCGATGTGGGGTGAAGCTCCAGGAGAGATGGCTTCCTGGCATCTCGTTGTTGGGGGTGGGGAGGTGATGTTCCACAGTATGATGGGCTCCAGGTGTGGAAGATTCCTGACTACACCCTGGTGACAAATGATGTTTGCATCCTGTCCATCGGTCCACCCATCGGCTCGTTTACCAGACTGAGCTACAAGGCTCCAGGTGGAGGGTAGCGATTATGAGCCCAGGGTGGGGCTTGACACTTTCTGCCTCACTAGGTTTGTATGCTTGGGTACATCTCTTAACCTCCAGTCTTACCCTGTTTACTGCGAGCTGCCGTGTGCCAGGCACTGAGGATAGCAGTGGCCATGGCAGGCAAGTTCTCTGCCTTCGTGGAATTCACATTCTAGGGGACGTTCTAATTTCTAACTTTGTAAAATGGCAACAGTGGTGATGCACTCATACCAGTAGTGTGAAGATTAATGAAGGTCTGCAGATGTAGCTCAATGGTAGAGCATTTATTTGCTTAGCCTGTTCAAGGCCCTGGGTTCTATTCCCAGCACTGAAAAGAAAAAAAAAAAAAAAGATGCAGTGTACTGAGTATGTCTTACCTGTTTTCCTTATTCCTCCCTGGTGCAGGCTTCATTAAGACGAATGACTGCTAGGACCGGCCAAATAGCTCAGCAGATTAAAGCTCATGCAAGCATGTACAAGGGCCCAGGGTTCGATCCCTGGGCCTGCCATGCCGGCCCTGCCCCCGCGGCGCACCTGTAATCCCAGTTCTTGGGAGGCTGTAAACAGGTGGATCACTACCAGTCTGATCTAGTAGTGAGACCTTGAACACCCTGTAGACCCTTCCCTGAAAGACAGAAAAAACCCAAAAAACAAAAAACGAATGACTGTTGTGTTTGAAGTGTACAAGCCCAGTGCCTGACACATAATTGGTAATCAGTAATTGTTCGATAAGTGGTGGGGGAGCTGACTGAGGATCTTTATGTAAACACTTGTGACACTAGACTCCCAATTTCTATAGGAGAAATAAGACTTCTGGTGGTGTGGAAAATGGGAGAAGTCACCATGGGGAAGGCTTGGAGAAGGTAATAGATAGGTGGACCTTAAAGGTAGTGAGTTGTCTGGTTAGCAACAGACGAGAGGAAGTTGCAGGCCAAGGGTATCAGAGGCACCCAAGGTATTCTGAGAAGGATGGGTTATTGACTTGTTTGGGCTGGCAGGGAGAGGAGGAAGTTGAGGTTGGAGAGGGGTTTCAGGAAAGCCCTGGATCACAGTTGCAGGCATCTGTGTGCACCTGCCATGGAAGCAGCACAGGGTGGGGCCTACAGAGCCAGGATTGTTGTGCATGTATAAGGTGTTCATTTCTCGCTCACCCTCCCTCTGCTAAGCACATTAAACTCATTCAACAAGTTTTTATGGACTGGCTGTTACGGTGTTGGGTGCTGAGTGTGTGGTGATGAACAGGTCCGGAAATCCTGCACACTGCCCACAGGAAGTGACAGCAGAGTGGGAGAACCTCTCTGCCGGAGAGCACCTGGGGCGGGGTCACCTAACACGGTCTGCTTCAAGCCACCATCATCTCTCACCTGGATCACTGCGGTAGCCCCTGCAGTCTCTTTCCTCACCATCCATTCTTAAGGTAGCACAATGATGCTTTTAAAATACAGATCAGCTCATATTGTTCTATTCAAAGCCCTCCCAACTCTCCCTTCACTCAGAGCAAGAGTCAAATTTCCTGTTTGCCTACGGAGCCCACCTCTGAATATCCCGTCTGCTAGTGCTCCCGTCTTGCTCATTTGACTGTGGCCGTGCTGGCCTCATTTCTGTTGCTCAGCAAGGGCAGGCACGTTCTACACAGGGCAGCACTGCACTTGCTCTTTATACAGCTGTGCATGGCTTGCTGCTGTACTTTTAGCCCAGAAGTCACCAGGGCGAGGCCTTCCAGGTTAATCTGTTTAAAATGACAACCCCCTACTCATGCACCCAGCCCCATTCTCTCAAGTCCTTCCAAAGACTATAGTTTATTGTGCTTATGGTCTTTTAAAAATATTTACTTATTGGATACAGGGTCTTACTTTGCAGTTCAGACTCATAGTGAACCTCCTTTCCCTTCCTTAGTGCTGGGATTACAGGTGTGAGCCACCACGCTTGGTTCTGTCAGGGCCAGCACAGCATGCAGTACTGGAGATTGAACTTGGGTCCTTGTGCTTGCTGAGCAGGCACTTAGACCACTGCGCTATCTCCCCAGCTCCTGTACTTAATGGTCTTATCTCACAGTCTTCGCTAGACTCTTAGCTCCATGGAGGCAGGATTCCTTGCTCACTTCTGTATGTTCAGTTGGCCTGGTACAGGGCTTGGTATTGATGGAATGAATGAAGTGGCTTCTAATGGGGACATTAGAGTGAATCAGTGTGGGTCAGTGAGGAACCAGGGGAAAAACATGCCAGCGGAGATCAGGGTGTGGACGAGATGAGAACACACCTCTGGGAGGATATGAAAGAGGCAGGGTAACTAGAGGTTGGAATGCAAGAGATGGGGTATGCAGACTTCAGATTGGGAGGAAGTGACCAACTCACTCATTCGCTCTATCAGACTGGCAGGAATCCAGCCAGGTAGTAGGACATCACAGGTAAGTGCCGGAAGCCCTGAGTCAGTCCCTGCCTTCCTGTGGACAATACCTTGGAATGAGGAACTGGGTGATCCTGCTGCCACCTTGTTTGCAGAGTATCTCAGGCAGCTCTTTTGTTTTTATTTGGTAGAATGTAATCCAGGCTTTAAGGAAGCAGAGAGGCTGATCTAGAGGCTGGACATAAAAAGCACAAAGTTTATGGGAGGCAGCGCGTGCATTAGGTAAGGAGGAAAGGAGCTGGGGAAGTAGGAAGAGCCTGCAGACGGGAGGTGCAGACCGGGTGACTGCAGAGGCTTTGGCTGGCAGTCTCCAAGGGCAGGGCAGGTCCAGCCCAGAAAGCTCTGATCAGATGAACGGGGAGTCCTCGGCCAAAGCTCCCTGTTTCCCTTAGCTGTGGGCCAGGCATGGTCTGGAAGGGTGGTATTCCCTGGACGGTGAACCAGAGGAGCAGCAGCTAGGGCCATTTGCCAGTTGTTTCTCTGGCAGTAGGTTTGACCAGTGTGTTTTCCCAGGGACCACTGTAAATCAATACATGTGAGCAGAGGACATGTACCTGTGTGGTGAAGTGCCTGCCTAGCATGTCCAAGACCCTGGGTCTGGTCTCTAGCACTGCCAAAACATAAACTTAAAAATTCAAAAAGACAATAAAAAGTTTCTCACGGTAAACGTCCAGTTGCCAACTCTTCCCTAGAGGTAGCCATTAGCAAGTTTCTTATATTTGCCTGTAGAAATTGTCTGTGCATTGACAAATACATATATTTAATGTAACACATTTAT